CTAGTTCTCCCCTTGTGATCTAATAATTTCCTTTCCCTTTTTTTTTTTTCAGCTTCATTATTTTCCATGATTTTATCTTCTGTTTCACCTATTCCCTCTTCTGCTTCTTCCATCCTCACTGTCACTGTATCTAGTTTATTTTGCCTCTAAGTTACAGTGTTTTTTAATTCATCGTGACTAGTTCTTAGGTCTTTGACCTCTGCAGCAAGGGTTTCTCTGGTGTCTTCTTTGCTTTTTTCAGGCCCAGCTATTAGTCTTATGACTGTTATTCCAAATTCTTATTCAGGTATCTTGTTTGTATCTGTTTTCAACAATTCTCTGGCTGTGATTTCTTCTTGACCTTTCTTTTGGGGAGAATTCCCGTCTTGTTGTTTTGGCTAAGTTTTCGTCTTTCGCATGTTGTAAAGGCTCATTATGTGTCCTGCACCTGTGAGTACCACTGTATTAAAAAGAGGTCCTGCACAGTCCGCGGTCTGGGACTCCAGGAAGTGTTTCTGATGTATGTTGTGTGCGCTCTGTCGTTGCGTTTTTGGCTGCTCTTTGCCACTGTTCGGTCCTCTGCAGACCTCCTCCTTGCTCGTAGTGGTGGTGGTTGGACCTTTAACTAGGTGTGCTTTGATTTGTTTGTTGAAGTAACCCTGGAATAGAAAAAAAAGAAAAAAAAAAAAAGGTATGTGTGTATGGAGCCTGATCCCATAAAAAGAGAAAAAAAGAAAGAGGAGGAAAGAAAACAAAAGAGAATCAAATACCTATAGGGCTAATTCCAGAGAAAGAGAAAGAGAAAGAGAAATAAAGAAGAAAGAGAAAACATGGAGACAGAGTAGGATAAAAAAAGATATATATGTATATAATGAGAACTGACAAAGACCAAATCAGAAACTATGAGCCTGGTTTCGAAAGAAAAAAAAGAGGGAAGAAAGGAAAAGAACGAGTCGTCTGTTGGTTCTTGGGGGGTGGTGGCTGTGTTGGGTCAGCCAGTGTCACTCCAGTAAATAAGCAGTTACCAGGCCCGGAAGGGCTGGGTTTGGCGTAAGCCTGTCCCACCTCCACTGGGGGGCGCTGTGCTGCTTCCTGAAGTCCCACCATGTTGGTGTTGCGGGGAAAAATGGCATCACCCCAGTCTCTTCTCCCCGGACTGGGTGTCTCACACCATGGTGTTCAGGTAGCCGTCACAAAATAGGGAGGGCAGCCAGCAGGCACCGTGTCGCAGTTCTCCTGTGCCTTCCATTTGGCTCTCGGCTGGGTTTCAGAACCCCTGAGATATGGGACCCCGTTCTGGTTTAGAACCACTCTGCCCTGCTGATGAAAGGCCTTTGGCTGGCATCTGCAGGGCCTTCTGTCCTTGGGGAGGCAATGAACCCTCTTCCCAGGGTACTCCAGGAAGGGGAATGTTCTCTCCCAGTGCCCCAGAGATGTCTACACCACACTATGCACTCTGGGGCCAGCTCCCTCCTCCCCAGAAGTGTGCACCTCCGCTCCTCTCCAGAGAAAGTCCTGCACTTTCAAAGCCTCTGAGTTTCAGCTCCAAAGGCTGTTTGCAAAACATAACTGGCACTCTCTGTACTTCTCCTTCCCCAGTCTGTGGTCTGGAGAGGTTTTCCTCTTGTGCTAACTCAGTGCCCAACCCCTCTCTCTTTCGCTACCTTATGTCTGTCCACAGAAAGGGTTCTTTCCCCTCCATAGATAGTTCCGCCGTTTTCTCTCCCCCAAGTCACATACTCACAGCTCAATCCTGCCAGTCTGTCTCCCTCCAACTGTAGAGAGCCTTCTGCCCCTCTGCAGATCTGTTTCCTGGGTATTCCAACTGGTCTGACCTCAATGCAGCTGTGTTTCAGGGGCACAGATGGAAAATCCCCGTCCCCCTCACTCTCCCCCATCTTAATTGCCCCTCAATGTCCAACATCTTTGTTTTGAAGTAAAATTGACATAACATAAAACTAACCATTAACCATCTTATTTTTATTATGTTTCTAAATGTTTATTTTTTATATTTATATAAAATTATATATTATATTTTATATATTTTATATTTATATAATAAATATATTTTATAAACATATTTTAAAAATATATATATTATATATATAAATATAAATATATATTTATATAAATATAAATATATTTATAAAATAAATAAATTTTATATATTTTATATTCATATAATAAATAATAAGTTATATAATAATAAATAAAAATTTATATATATTTATATATATAATATATATTGTATAATATATATTATATATTATATATTATTGTATCCAATTATATATATAAAATAAATATTTATAAAATATTTATTTTATATTTCTTAATGTTTATTTTTGAGAGGGAGAGTGTGTGTGTGCAGGGGTAAGGGAGGGGCAGAGAGAGGGGTCAGAGGATCTGAAGCAGGCTCTGTGTTGACAGCAGACAGCCTGATGCAGGGCTTGAAGCCACGAACCGCGAGATCATGACCTGAGCTGAAGTTGGGTGCTTAGCTGACTGAGCCACCCACACGCCCTAACCATTAGCCCATTTGAAGGGTGAAATTTAGTGCCATCTAGTATATTTACAGTGTTGCATAACCATCACTTCTAATTCCAAGACATTTGCATCACCCCAGAAGGAAACCCTATACCCATCCAACAGCATCTTACCAGAAATGTTCACTCAACACAAAAAGACCGTATTCTAGAAGTGAGTTTAGCTAACCTTCTAACTGGAGGCAGGCCAGGTGAATTTTCCAGGAAAGCAGTTGAACATAGGACCATTCTGGAATGGAGCCAAAGGTACCATTTTGAAAGGTTGGAGATCTCCAGGTACACTAGATTTCTAGAACCTGTTCCAGTAAAGACAGTGCCTCGGCAATACTTGCAAAGGATCCATTCATTTTGAACTTTTTTTTTTTTTTTTTAATTTTTGGGACAGAGAGAGACAGAGCATGAACGGGGGAGGGGCAGAGAGAGAGGGAGACACAGAATCGGAAACAGTGGATCCATTCATTTTGAATAGAATCACTTAACTCACTACAGTTCCTCTCTAACGTCCTTTACGGTAATGAACAAAGTGTCTTGTGTTGATCAAAGATAAGCTACTGAGACATTTTGTCAGCCACTTCTGAAGTGTGGGCTTCTGATAAAAATTTGCTAAACTCTCCCGGAACATATATTCCTAATTAGAGTAACTGACCACCTTTAGAAGGGTAGATTGCACCTAACAGACTCAGTCGTACATATCATATTGTCCATGTTGGATTACCACACTGTCACATCATATACACAATTAACTTGAGACCGGAGGGAATATTAAAATTGAGCTCTCAAGGAGCACGTGTCCCAGGGCAAGCCTGAAATGGTAGCCTGAATCTCCTGGCCCCTCGGTTGTCCTCAGTGACCACGTCTTCCTCCGTGTGTGATCAGGTTGCCACGTTGAGAGTGATTCCAAGGGTTAAACATACGTATTGTTCGTACAACATGGCACCTGAGCCTAATAAGGAAGGTATTTCAATGGGCCTTCAGCTGAAGAGGCAGTCATTTGTCTGCTTCATCGTGGAAGAAAAATGGGCTGTGTTATACTTACCGAGAGGCCCAGTGTTCCAGAATGGTTAAGGAATTTTCAAGAGCATTTTTGACGATCCCTGATTTTTACAGTAAGTACTATAGAATCCACCTCTCCCACCTGAGTCCCTCTCCAGCACTCCCCTCCACACGTTGTAGCAGGATGCTCGCACAGAAAGTCGTGACACTGAGGCTTTTCTTTCCAGGAAGCAATTTTGATCTTGCCGGCATGGGCTCAGAGGGTTTGTACCTGAAAGACTGAGCCCTCAATGCCGCGTGGTGTAGCATTTTATGCGTTTTCTACTTCTTTGTCTCCATATATGGGTAACATATAGACATACAGTCTGATTGGCGGGGGCGGGGGGGGGGAGGGTCTCACGTTACAGGGTCATGAGGGATGTCATGTACAGACATACAGAGTCGTGAGGAATGTCACGTACGCACATAGCCAGGTTGCCTTCCCTTATCTTGAGGTCTTTTCTCACCACATTCCTTAGGGAGGGGACCCCCGCACCAACACATACACAGTGTAAGATGAGACTGGTTGGCATTGAGCTAGGCTCTTTGAAGTTCCTGGAGAAGTTTAAGGTGGGATCTCCGGTGCACTGTAAGAATTTCACATCTTCCTATTGAAAGAATATTCAGAAAAAATATTAGTTTGTCTACATAGTATTCCCCCCAGCCTTGCCCGTAGGGTACATGTTCCAAGACCCCCAGTGGATGCCTGAAACCACAGTTAGCACTCAACCATATGTAGTGGGTTTTTTTTTTTCCGTGTACACACGTGACATACCTATGATAAAGTTTAATTTGTAAATTAAGCACCGTAAGAGATTAACAACAATACGTAATAATAGAACAATTTTAACAATATAGTGTAATAAGTTACACGAACGCGGGCTCTCAAAATACCTCATCGTGCTGTACTCGGCCTTCTTACGATGATGAGAGATGGTAAGACGCGCATGATGAGATGAAGTGAGGTGGGCGATGTAGGCATCGTGATGCAGTGGTGGGCTCCCGTCGACCTGAGCACGGGGCGGAAGGAGGATCATCTACCTCTGGACCCAACTGACCGCGGGCCACTGAAACTGCAGAAAGCGAAGCCATGGATCCGGTGGGGGGGGCGGGGGTGGGGGGGGTGAACTACTGTAACTTACATATAGAATCCCACTGCGAAATCTGACAGATAGTACTTCAGCTTATAGCAGAGCTGAATGATGGATTTGTTGCTTGGGTATCGTTTCCTTATCCTAACCAGACAGTGATGAAAATACAGGCTTTCTATATGGTAACCTAGATTGCATATCTGTTCGCAGAGCTGATGTGTGGAATGTCTTGGTGAAACTCTCCACGTTCGCTTTACATCAACAGCAAGTATATAAGCACTAGCCGTATTGACTCTCAGTTTTGATGAAAATTTTCTTGCCATTTCTTAGCTTCTAATTATGATCCCAACAGGTATTATCTTTTGATGCCTATTTAGAAGATGAATTTCCTGATAAAACTCAAGAAAAGTATAGAATAAGATGCTATAAAATCCTCTTCTACCTCGAAGATGACACAATTCAAGTGAATGAACGAGAGTTGAAAAATAGCGGACTGCCTAAAGGTAGGTACCTTTTGAAAGCAGAGTTATGGTTCTCTGACTTGTAACTCCCACCTTTATGTACTGCCCTTCTCTGGGTTTTTATATATTTTTTTTAATCTTTATTCACTTTTTTTTTTTTAATTTTTTTTTCAACGTTTTTATTTATTTTTGGGACAGAGAGAGACAGAGCATGAACGGGGGAGGGGCAGAGAGAGAGGGAGACACAGAATCAGAAACAGGCTCCAGGCTCTGAGCCATCAGCCCAGAGCCCGACGCGGGGCTCGAACTCCCGGACCGCGAGATCGTGACCTGGCTGAAGTCGGACGCTCAGCCGACTGCGCCACCCAGGCGCCCCTTATTCACTTTTGAGAGACAGAGAGAGACCGAGCATGAGTGGGGGAGGGGCGGGGAGGAGGGGGGACAGACTCCGAAGCAGGCCCCAGGCTCCGAGCTGTCAGCATAGAGCCCGACGTGGGGCCCGAACCCACGAACCGCGAGATCGTGACCTGAGCCGAAGTCGGACGCTCGACCGCCTGAGCCACCCAGGTGCCCCACCCCCGTCTCTGACTTTTTAAAAGGCGCCATATACTGCTTTGGTGTCTGACTTGTTGGTGACTGCGAATATGAACATGCCATTGGCCTGCAGTTATTGATGGTGACTTACTGGCTTTCTACTCCGCCCCCTCCCACCCCCAACCTCAGCATGGGCCCTTTGTCTTGCTCTTGTATGGTATATTAGTTTTCTTTCCCATGCTGCTCCAGTATGAGTAAACCCTCCTGTGTCTTCAGTCTCTTTACTATGATCATATTACTTCTTCACAACACTTTCAAGGAGAAGAGAGGAGACTCGTCCACTGTCGCTTCCAGATTTGTATTCTCTCTTCTTTCTTCCTTTCTCTTTCCTTTAAGTGCTTATCTCATCCTTTGAGAGCCCGCAAGCACCTGTGAGCAGGGGAGGGGCAGAGAGAGAGAGAGAGAGAGAGAGAGAGGTGGAGAGAGTCCCGAGTAGTCTCGGCATGGTCAGCGTGGATCCCGATGTGGAGCTTGAACTCCTGAGCCCTGAGATCATGACCTGAGCTGAAATCAAGAGTCAGATGCTTAACCGACTGCACCCCGCCCCCCCGCCCCCCCCCCCCAGGCACCTCTCTCTCTTCTTTCTTGAATTCATAGCCATTTGCTTTAACCACTCTCTCTTCCTCCTCATCCCTGTTAACTACATACTCTGATGGCTCTTCCGCAGAGGGTCGTTGTTCCTTCACCCCTCCCCTCCCCCATGTACCAGTCCTCTTTATCCATACTCCATCTCGGCCAGTTAACTCTGTGATGTGGCCACCAGAGGAGTTAATCCTAAACTGCATTATTAAGAGTAGGGTGGAGATCAAGGGAGGTGACTGATTTCTTCTTGTGCTAGGAGTCCTTCACCTGGGACAGTGCTGAGATCTGGCTGCCTTCAGGGGGCAGCAACCACGGTGGTAAAAGGCCTGAAAAGTTGTCATGTGTAAGGCAGAATAGTGAAAAGGGGTATTTGTCTGTAAAGGGAAGATTCGGGTGTGCCTGGTGAATTCAGGAATCTGAAGGGCTGCCATGGGGAGGAAGGACAACCTAATTTTCTGTATCCTCAAGGATATGACCTGGGTGGGGGGGGGGTCGGAATTCAGGACAGTAAGAATAATTTTCTGGCAGAGAGCTGCCAGAGATTGTATGGGATGTCTCTGGAAGAACATGGGGGTCAGGGTCAGGTGTGGGGGTAGAGAGGGGTGTCACGTATTTGGTCCTTGGTATAGACGGGGCAGGTCAGGGGTTATTTTTCACTGATAGCTTAGTAGAGGTATGGGAGGGGGTCGTGTGTGTGTGTGTGTGTGTGTGTGCGTGCGGTGGTGGTGTAGATGACCTTCCAAGACCACTTTGACCCCTCAGGAGCCATGATTCTTTGGTACAACCATCTGTTCACGTAGCAGCCACAGTGTCACGTTGGGGGTGTTACCTTGAGGCGGCGCCGTCCTCCAAGAAGCGTGCGTGCGGGCTCTCCCAGAGGCCACGGAGCAAAAGCCTCGTGGACCAGATTGAAATGCATCAGCATCACGTGACGCGTGGAAACAATTCGAAATGTACAATGAGACGCGAGGGGGAAAGAAAGGAGTTCAGTTCGCACACGTAGGACGAGGTACGGGTGGCTGGGAGGACCGCTCTGCCTGAATCCCGGGGTAGGCCGTGGTCCCGCCGTCTTTGCTGCGTCAGTCTTGACGACCAGAGTTGAAGTTCAAGTAAGTAAGGAGGACCGCAGACAGAAGGGACCCTGGGCTCACGGCACACGCTCTATCGGAGAGACCCAGGGAGAAGAGGGCCTGGCCACAGCTGTAGTCACGGGGTTTGTTTGTTTCTCGGCGAAAGGACACCTGGGGCCAGAATGGGTGTCACCAACGAATGAGTGACCAAATTGAGGCCTCGTGAATATTGAGTACTCCTGAATGTTTACTGACTCTTGTATATCTGTTGTGTCATGAATATTTAGAGCCCAGGTGCCTCAAATATATTTAATACCTACAGAAAATGAATTCCCTCTGGGTCCTTCCAACTCCTCCTGTCTGTGTTTGACACATAACATGCCCTGCTTACCCTTATTTAACCCATCTTACGAATTTCTGCCTATGTCGAAGAAACTTTGTTCCTTACCAACTACTTATCTGGGCCCGTTGCCTCCCTGTTGATATACCATGACGGGTACTATGGGGAGAAACAGAGAAATTTGGGGACCATGGGTCTCTGAGTATAAGGTCGTGACGGGGCAGTATGCAAAGGATTTCCTTCAGTGTTCATGAGATTGAGGTTTTCTTGGCCCATAGCTCCATTGCGTCCGGATGATGAACTTGGGGCCAGTCAGCATTGCCAAGAAGTGTTTGTCGAATGCCTACTCTGTGCCGGGCACTGTGCTGGCTCTCCTGGAGCTAGCAGGTAAGCAGGTTGGAGAGGAAAGGGAATGACTATAGCCCAAGAGTTTTGCAGTTGTTCAGGTTAGCAGGTGCTCAGTGTCTAAACCTGGACAATGACAGTAGGAAACAGAAAACACAGGAAAGACCTGAGAGACCTTTGATTGGCAGAGTTGATAGGCATTGACCAACAACTAAATATAGAAAGTGTGGGAGGGGACTATCTAATGACAGGTGCTTTGTCAAGTCCTTGGTAAAGTACCTCCTTTACCACTATCTCATTTAATCCCCCAACGACCATCTAAAGTAGGTCATTGTCAGCTCTCAAAGAAAAAGAAACAAGGAATTTGCTTCGTCTGAATCTTAACAGGTCGCCTCAGAGCTCACTCTGCGGTTGGTCGAAAAGATGGTGATACAGTAGTAAAACCCAGAAGCACGGAGCAGGGAACAACGTTCGGGATAGAGGTAGGGTATCCTTGTTCTGACCGTGAGGCCTTTGAACGTGGTTGGGACATCTGTATGGTGATGCCCGCCGTGTTGGGATGTATTTTCAGGAAGAAAGTCAAGACTGGAGGTGTGGACTGGGAATCGGGGGTGCTCAGATAGTGAACAGAATCAGGCTTATTCTCCCATGTTGGAAGAGAGGCACTGTTGAGGTGGTGGAAAAGGGAAGAAGACTGGATTTAGTGTCTGCACTTTGTTTTACTAGTGGGGGGGAGAAAGGATTAATGTGAGGAGAGGATGTGAGTGGTCCTCGTTATTCTTTGCGCTCTGACAAACTATCCACCCCGGGGTCTTTTGGTTTCGAGAATTTGTGCCTTAACGGCAAGCCTTTTAGGAAATATGGAAATGCCTTGAGGTTTTAAAAATAGATTCTATGACTTCCAAAGAAAACTTCTTTTAATGTTTGCTTCTTTATTTATTTAGGGGGAGAGAGAGTGGGAGCAGGAAAGGGGCAGAGAGAGAGAGAGAGAGAGAGAATCCCAAGCAGGGTTCGAGCTTTCAGTGCAGAGCCCAGAGTGGGGCTCGATCCCATGAACCTGTGAGACGATGGCCTGAGCTGAAATCAGGAGTCGGATGCTTAACCGACTTGAGCCACACAGGCGCTCCTACAGACTTTTATGGTTGGAAATACGACACTTTATGAAGGGACAAGAAGTCTTTAGACTCTTCAGGGTCGTTTTTAACCTATACAAGGCAGTTTTTAAAGATTGACAATAATGTATTAGAAAATGTTGGAAGAATTAGTTCAGAACAGAAAGCAAATTCACAACTTTTTTTTTTCAATATATGAAATTTATTGTCAAATTGGTTTCCATACAACACCCAGTGCTCATCCCAAAAGATGCCCTCTTCAATACCCATCACTCCCCCACCCCACCCTCCCACCCCCCATCAACCCTCAGTTTGTTCTCAGTTTTTAAGAGTCTCTTATGCTTTGGCTCTCTTCTACTCTAACCTCTTTTTTTTCCTTCCCCTCCCCCATGGGTTTCTGTTAAGTTTCTCAGGATCCACATAAGAGTGAAACCATATGGTATCTGTCTTTCTCTGTATGGCTTATTTCACTTAGCATCACACTCTCCAGTTCCATCCACGTTGGTACAAAGGGCCATATTTCGTTCTTTCTCATTGCCACGTAGTACTCCATTGTGTATATAAACCACAATTTCTTTATCCATTCGTCAGTTGATGGACATTTAGGCTCTTTCCATAATTTGGCTATTGTTGAGAGTGCTGCTATAAACATTGGGGTACAAGTGCCCCTATGCATCAGTACTCCTGTATCCCTTGGGTAAATTCCTAGCAGTGCTACGGCTGGGTCATAGGGTAGATCTATTTTTAATTTTGTGAGGAACCTCCACACTGTTTTCCAGAGTGGCTGCACCAGTTTGCATTCCCACCAACAGTGCAAGAGGGTTCCTGTTTCTCCACATCCTCTCCAGCATCTATAGTCTCCTGATTTGTTCATTTTGGCCACTCTGACTGGCGTGAGGTGATATCTGAGTGTGGTTTTGATTTGTATTTCCCTGATGAGGAGCAACGTTGAGCATCTTTTCATGTGCCTGTTGGCCATCCGGATGTCTTTAGAGAAGT